TAAAAACCTATTAAAATCTATATAGCAAAACAATATCTTTAACATTTGTTAAGCATGATTTATATACTTTACTAAACGAGTAAATGGTGTTTCATTACTTAGATTTAGTTTGTAACTTTAATAATAACTGGTTCAGTCGTCCGGTATTCCAGCATCACATGAAAACAGGGTTGTTGTTGGGTTTTTGTGTTGTATTTTTTCTAGAAGGGTGGATATGCACACAATCATTGTATTTTTTTAAAGGAATTAACATGATTGAGATTCTATATTTGAAAATACCAACGACAAAGATTTAAATAAAAGAGTATTTTTAAGGCACGTTATGCCTCATTCTTTTTTAATTCTTTAGAATATTATTTAGAACTATTTAAAGTTACAATGAACGTGCAGTAATATGCTATGAAGGTAGAAAAATGTAAACAATGTAGTATTTTGACTTTAATATAAAATGCACTATGATTAAACCCTTTGCAAAAAAGATAGTTCAAAACTGTTACAAAATACCAAGAATTGAAACAAATTTTTTTTAGAAATGATAGATTTCTGAGGATAATGGGCCTAAAATAAGCTTTTGATTTTTTTTTCCAGTTCTAAATGCCGCCAGAAGCCATTCCATACTTTCTTTAGCTTCCTTTTTCATCCTGTCTATACTGTTTTGCTATTTTGCATTTACTACCTGAAAACTATTATATTCTCTAACTTTAAAAAAAAAAAAAAAAAAAAAAAAAAAAAAAAACTAACTTTAAATTTCTCCTCATGCTTTTGTTTTTATCGAACATAGAGATGCAGCCGTTGTTATGCTAATTATAATTAGTGAGTTCTCAACATTAGGAAGGCCAAGAAGAAGACCATTTAACTATCGTATCATGGAACATTAACGGATTGAAGCTTAAATTAATAGACTGTGACATTTTTTTCTTAATGAAACATGGATATCAATGAATGACACCTCAAATTTGAATATAATGATTATTGTGTAGAACATATTTTGGTAATAAGTCCACAAACACTAAAAAAGGGAGAATTAGCGAAAGTATTTCATTTTATTATAAATCAAATATCAAGAAATTTGTATTATAGGAAAAAAAAATGGAATCATTTGGGTTAAGATCAGCGCTGGTTAGACGATGTTTATAATTATATGTCATATTTATATACCGCTTGTTGACTCTAAAGTATAAATGTATGTAAACTTTGATTTTTTCGAACAATAAGAAATAGAAATTTTTAGCGATCTATGTAAGTCTTCGTCTGTGTTGATCTCAATAACATCAGACAAATCTTATTTCATAGAATTTAATAAATATTTGGATCAAAATTTGACATTTTTTTTTTTTTTGTAAACACAAGTGATATATCAACGCGCGTAAGAACACAAACTGACATAGAAATCACTGTTAATTATTATTGGAAAATTGATATTCTTAACAAACAAACAAACACTTTTAACTCCCTTTAGTAAATATCATTTTTTACAGGTAAATATGTGATAAAAAATCAATATAAACGGTAACAGTGATAAACTGCCGATGACAATAACCTGTGGCATGTTTGTTTGAGTACCGTGAAAAAATGATTTCGCTGAATCCGAGTCGATTTGTATACAGATATGCACATGTTCGCTGTATTTAAATGCATTCTAAGCATGTGACCGGAAATAGAAATAAAGAAAGGCGGAGGTTGGGGAATACAATTTCTTTCGTTATAAACTTAATTTTGCTTTATATTCATATAAGTGAGCTTCACTGTAGTTATCAAATTTGATGTAAATTGCATCAGTATTTTCGTACAATATTCTGAAATGATTATTTCAAATTTATATTTTTCTGTAACATTACCTGCTAGGGACTTCTGATTCTTTCATGTAAGAAGAAAGCTATCTCTCTAGATAATGGACCGTCAGTGGTTGTATTCAAGCGTCCGTTTGTGCCTGATATAATGCACGTTAAGGTTTACCACGAGTAAAACTGGAAAGTAGATAGTGACTTGATACGTAAAACCCAAATAAAAACGTTTCTTATCAAAACTCGATCAGTCATAATCGTAATATGGATACCAGGAGAGGCAACTTGACATGTCATACTTCATTTAAAATACATTGCAGAATTATCTCTCTTTTTTGCAACGTGATACTGGGAAATATTTTTATTGGTATAAAGACTGTATCTATGATTATAAAAGTCAAAGTTACGATTATCATTACATTCACAATACACAAGTCTTTCCATTGCATGGAGTTCAATATTTGCAAAATAGGGACTGACTTTATTGAATATATTCTCGTGCATATTTAGGCCAATAACATCTTGTACATCTTTTGCTCAAGAAAAGTTGTTTTTTTATATTTCATATGGATATGGATGTGAACTAGTTTGCTTCTTTGATGCGATTTTAAGCAGTTAATTTAACTATAAGTTCTGTACTATTATTTCATGAAATGTCAATAGAAGCTGAAGGAACAATAATATAAATAAAGGTCTGTCTACATATTAAATGAAATTCCATGCTGAGCATAAAAATTTAGATTCTAATTCATTATATCTTAGTATACTAACGCTGTCAAAAACATGTTTATTAAAAAGTAAAAACAAAATTTGAACGTAAAAGGATAATAATCTTTATTTAGCAATATGAGTCAAATTATAGAAACAAATATTTCTTTACAGCTAATCAAGTGCATACACATATATACATGAAGAAAAGAAAACATATAATCATGATAAAAATAAAGTTGCTGAGAAAACTGTTACGAAACTTTCCTACCATTGACCATTAATGTCGAAAATTTAACTAAGTCGATAAGCTGGAAGTGGATGAGCGACAGACCTGCGGTATGGGACCACGTCTCAATGCTGTATGCCAAATATCAAGAGGCTGTGATAAGTGGTTGCTGAGAAAACTGTTACGAAAATGTCCTATCATTGACCATTAATGTCGAAAATTTAACTAAGTCGATAAGCAGGAAGTGGATTAGCGACATACCTGAAATCAAATTCCACAGTATTGGACCACGTGTCAATGCTGTATGCCAAATATCAAAAGGCTGTGATAAGTAGTTGCTGAGAAAACTGGTATGAAATTTTTTCCACCAGTGCAACTCGGCCAAAAATTAAATGAGAAACCCTTCCGTTATGTTCTGGTATTTTACTGGCAGTAATGGAAGTATAACAGAAAATTAGCGTGTAAATCACTTTAATATTACTTTGCATTAAACATTCTGTGTCTCAAATTTAACTTTTTCATTAAATAAATGTACACGTATAATGATATATTCTTGCTTTTACATAAGTATTATATTATGAAAAGATGTCTTACTTGGTGTTTCAATTATTTTATGAAAGATTTACTTTTTATAATAAGACTCGTATCTCCCGAACTGATTTTTATAGTAAGCCAATGCCTGTTCTATGAAACATATCTTAATCTCCTGCTGTTTGACATAGCTCTATCTTTAAGAAATCTTTACTGTACACTGCCATTTAAATATTTAAGAAATAAAGCAATAACAAAAAATAACAAACAACGTGAAACACAACAACAACAACAACAACAGTATTTACAATATATTACAAGATACAAATAATATAATATGGTGTATATCACATATCAAGATGATCTGTCGTTGATTAAAGCTGAAGAAAACTATTTTTGGAAAAGCCAAAGACAATGACAATTTACTTATTGATATTGCCCAAGGTCCATAACAACAATATATACATTAAGATATAATTTCTTGACTGATACCAGTAAATATATCAATCGTTTGGTGTAGTGTATATTGAACCGTAGGCAACAACTCTGAATTGATATCTCAATGAATGTTAAACATCTTTGATGATATAGTTCGGAATTTGAAATAATATAATATAACGCTCTAGCGCGTAGCTTTGCTGAGCAAATAATACATTATCAACTTAAAATACTATATCTCAATACTGCTAGCAACCTTATAAGCTCACAGAACAATAATCCATTTACAAAAATGTTATACAACATTTATTGGAAAATATAAAACTTAAATCTATCTAACGAAAAGATTAAGCTAGTTCAATAAGACTAGGTACATGTCAATTAACAGTCATAGATAATATTACTTTAATAGAATATGTACATTGTATGTGCAATATGAAAAAAAACTTTATATATAACTTGCTAGAAGGTTGATTTATATAAGATATGTGTAAAAAAACAATGGTCAAATACTTTCTTTAAAACATGATTTTAGCTTATTGAAAAGATGAATGCATTGGTCATAAGTAAAATTACTTGTACATCACAATTTCACATAATAAGAATGATTACACCTGATTGTCATAAAACTATATAAAACTATGTAAATGAGCATAATACAGTGACTTCCTTGTTTCTATATCTCTAAATACAGTTTGTTGTATAGGTTCTAAAACATTTACATTTTCTTAATATACTATAGTTTATCATTTTCAGTTTTAAGCTAAGAATGTATTTCATTGCAGTCCACCCTGAAGTTAATGAATATTAGTTTTCCAGGTCAATGCTGTCTTGCAAGTTGTAAAGATTGACAAAAGTTCTTGCATACACACGTTTGTAATATGGTTCATCCTTTTAAAAGAACAGAACAGAAGTTTATTAAAAAAATTGACTAATCTAAAAATTGGGATGAAAACTTTTAACATCTACCGATTCTTGGATTAACCAGACATCATTAAAAACAGCACTTTGTAGTATAGAACAAACATTCGATGTCCAATTTTTAACATCATTATTTTTTTTCCAAATCTTTTCTAAGGCCATCTTAAACAGTGTACAAAATACAATTATTGCGTTTCTCATCATAAATTCTGAGAAAATATTTTACAATTCTTATTTGTCTACAGTAACTATATACAGAGGGTACCGTCCAAATTTAATGCATGGTATATATAAATATGTAAACTACGCGAATTGGAAGTGGTTTGAACTAATGAAATAATGAGAACACAAGGTTAACTTAACAATAAAAGTGTATATGCGTTTGGTAATTTGTCCCCCCCCACAAAAAGAACCTAAAAACAAGAGGGCCATGATGGTCCTGAAGTCGCTCACCTGTATATTCAGGTCCCCCGGAGCGGGGCCAGTTTAAACCCCATGGCTTTTATTTGAACAAACTTGGTAGACACCCATTAGAAGATGTTTCATGCTAGACATCAAAGGTCTAGCACGTTGGATTTTTTTAATAGAAATTTTTAAAGTTTTTTTCTTTACACATATATTTAAAAACAATGACACCCCTGGGGCATGGCCAGTTTTGACCCCAGGGCTTTTATTTGAACAATCTTTGTAGGCACTTACTAGGAGATGTTTCCTGCTTAATATCTACACTCTAGCTATTCGGGTTTTTTCGAAAGAGATTTTTAAGTTTTTGCTGTATACACATATAAGGAAAATCAGTGTCCCCCGGGGCGGGGCCAATTTTGACCGTAGGGCTCTTATTTGAACAAAATTGGTAGACATCCATTAGAACATATTCATGCTAAATATCTTAGCTCTAGCTCTTTGGGTTCTTTAAAAGAAGATTTTTAAGTTTTTACTTTATGCATATAGGAAAAATCAATGACCCCCTGGGGCGGGACCAATTTTGACCCCAGGGCTTTTATTTGAACAAACTTTATAGACACCCATTAGAAGATGTTTCATGCTAAATATCTTAGCTCTAGCTCTTTGGGTTCTTTAAAAGAAGATTTTTTAAGTTTTTACTATATACAGATAGGGAAAATCAATGAACCCCTGGGGCGGGGCCAATTTTGACCCCAGGGCTTTTATTTGAACAAACTTGGTAGACACTCACTAGAAGATGTTTCATGCCAAATATCTAAGCTCTAGCTCTTTGGGTTTTTTAGAAGAAGATATTTAAAGTTTTTTTCTTTTGGTTGCCATGGCAACCAGAGTTCTGCATGGAATGGAATTCTTTGAACAACTTTGTTAAGGCTTCACACAAGGAACATCCCTGTGAAGTTTCATTATGATCTGCTTTATGGTTTCAGAGGAGATGTCGTTTTAAAAGTGTGAACGGGCAACGGACGACGGACGACAGACGACGGACGAAGAGTGATTCTAATAGCTCACCCTGAGCATATGCTCAGGTTTGCTAAAAACAACAAACAAACAAAGAACAAGGTGTATTCGGTTCAAGTATTTTTCAAATGTTGGAAATTTTAAAATATTTTGTTCAACACATTTTAAAAATAAAGTAATGAAAACAATGCTATCATTTTGACCACTAAAAGACATATTATTTAATATATGTAATTATATTTCTTTTTGAAATACATGTATTATCATTTCATACCTTGTAATGAACAGCGGGAAATGTCAACAGAAAGCAACAATATTCAATCAAATCAAATCGGATAAAACATGTACAAAATGTATAATCAAACAATCAATAAGTGAACAAAATGTGAATGTTAAGATCTACTTGTGAAATTCAACGCGAATAGAGCAAAACAAAAAGGTATTGTTAGAAAATCAGTGTTTCATGTTATCATTTTGGTCATATCTCGTCTGTCAGTCAACTTAACGACTTTCTTAGATAAATTACTAGTATGTAATCAGTTATTACCAATTTCTAAGTTCTGAGCATAAAAAACATTTACAACACGTAATTTTATATTGGAATAATAATATAAAAAATGAAAAGAGGAGTTTGTACCCACACTAAATTTTTAAGCTTAAAATAGAAAAATGTGATAATATAATTTCAACATATATAGCCGATTATTTTACTATTATCTAATATTCCGGGAGATTCTTTAAGTTTAGTACTTATATCCAGAGAGTTTTGATTTCAACACTAAAATCTGAAATCTCTTAAACAATTAGTATATTTAAATAATGAAATATTTCCATTTTACTTTAAAAATTGCTAAATCCCGAGTACATATACATGTATAATAAAAGATCCCAGTGTAACTGAAATATTTTGTAAAAATCTTGGGTAATTGTCCGATAATACTTTCATATTTGAGAGCATTTTCTTCTTGTTTTTGTCATTTCTTTTCATTTGATTTAACATTTCAGATAAATGACAATTCGTATCTTAACTGTTGTTATTCTTCAAGAATGACAGCTACATGTTTCAATTTAACTTTATTGACGATTGTCTCCCTTTAACTGAAACTTTACTTCAGTGAAAACTGGCGATTATGTCCCACAGCTGAATTAAAGCCATCGTTGGAATCAATATCCAGGAAAGGAAATGGGGTAGGTTGTGAGGCGAAACACTTGTCGCTGTAGATATTTGGTAGTTTAATTTAAAACATAAAGAGAAAACAAAGACCATGAATATAACAATGTATGATAAGCAAATTAATAATTTACTTTTACAAATAAATGTTTTGAAATAGAATACAATTTGTTAGAAACGAGTGTTACAAAACAAAAATCTTTTTTGAAAGCTTCAAGATTGTTTTTTGATTTTAAAGTTCAACGCTAAAACCAATTCTAGTATAAAATGATCGAACATTTACAAAATCAATAAATTTATTTCGATTTCAACAGGAGAAAATACCGTACCTTCATGTTTACTCTTGCAATAGGGCTCTGTATAGCCTGTCATACAACCATTGTAACACGTTCCGGTTTCGGCATTGCATGTTTCATTTTTACTGCACATTCCACATCTGTATGAACAATCTTGTCCATAGTACCCTGTAGCACATTCTGAAACGAATAAAACTTCATCATAAGACTATTTAGGCCGAGGAAGTAAAATCCTCAGGAATAAGAACAGAACCGAAAAATCAATCAGCATTTGCTTTCAGAAAATATTTTATTTGACTTAAATGATAGTATTTTTAGAAAACTGGATACGATTTAGATATTTATCTTATAATTCTTTTAAGTAAAACTTAGTGACGACAAATGTTGTACAAGCATTCAAATACATCGTTGTGTTGAAGATTTAATACCGCTAAAGCCGTTGCAAGAAGGCTTGAGAAATGTTGCACCTTACATCGCTTTAATAAACAGACATAATAAAACCGGGTTTAAAATTTCTGTTTTATATTGTTTTACTGCTCCCGATGCATCTCCTCTTTTCTAGATGTTATACTAAGCTTTTATGTAAAGTTTTACAATAAAATATAGTACCTTTATCGCAGTGTTTGCCGTGATATCCTGGGGAACAATCACCTGGACATTCTCCTGAACCCTTACTACAATCTACCCCATTGTAACAGTAGCATCGTTGAATGCACTCATTACCGAAACGTTGGGCAGAACATTCTGCAGCGAACAAACAAAAATCAAAACTTAAAAGAATGAAAATAATCATATAATAATAATCATGTTTGCTCCATCATGACATCAATGATAGACAAAAAGGATGAAAAAAACGAAAAAAAAAAGAAAGGACATGCCTGCGCTCCTTATACTACATTAGTCTACAGTGAATGTTTAAATAATCGAGTTAAAATGATTTTATGTAAGTAACTTGTATTATGTATAGCCCCAGTAAACGCTTATTATCAAATCAAACAACATTATCAAATTCTGGGAATGTATTTATATAGATAAACACAGTAGTTCTATAATGTTAAGTTCTCACCAACTATAACTGACTGGCTGCTAGAAAAATGTGGTGAATTTCGGGGAGTGGAGGGGGTCGAAGGGAAGGAATTACTTTTGTTTTATAACACTGATGGGTCAATATATGATAATTGCTCCTTCGGGAAGACTTGTTTTTTTGCTTTAAAAAAGATGGGGTTTCCCGTTAAGTTTTTTAACCGTTTTTCGGAAATTTCATTGGGCATTATAAATACGGTTTCTTAAATTTTGGCCAAAAAGGGAAAAATCTTTTCGGTTTATGAAATTTTGTAATTTTGGGGAATATAGTTATTAACAAACCTTTGTCACAACGATTGCCTTGCCATCCAGGTTCACATTCTTGCTGACACTGACCCGTTCTTATATCACATAATGATCCTTCTTTACAATGTCCACATGTCTCTGAACAGTTCACACCATATGAACCACTTTTACATTCTATTAAAAATATTTCACATGCTAAAACATTGAAAGGCCTTACACTTTGTATCTAGAAAATGTTAACTTCTCTTGTCAACAGAAGTTGGTACGAAAAATTATCTTCTTTGTTAAAATAGCAAAGCATTCTATGCCTTATTCAAATAATGCTCACAACTCTTATTTTAGACTGCAATTGTTGATTTTTTATCTAAGGCATTTTAATTGAGGAGCTCTTTTCAGTCCGATGACAATTAAGATTATTTTACTCACCTTGTGTACAATGCGGTGGGAGCCATGGACCACTGCATCCTCCAATACAGTGTCCTGTTGTTTTATCGCATGGAGGTTTCATACAATTGCCGCATTTGCTGTTGCACAATTCTCCCCATTTGTCTTGAGGACATTCTGTATTTTGTGATATAGAGTATAATTATGTTTCACAAGGATAATTCATTCATACTATAATTAATTTAGACTAAAAATGCGCTGCCAACAAAAAAAATTTGAATTAAGACGTATTTTAAATCATAGAAATCATTTATTATTATTACTCCATATGAAAGAACAGATAAAAGAGTTATTGCACAAAAATATCAATATCCTTACTGTTACTGTAAACATAACGAGCGAAAAGCAAAACCAAGAATATGTTACAGCAATCTCGTCTCGCCATGCCACCTTCCAAACTATGAAAAGTTGGGCTTTGTCCCTCGCCTTTATAAAGTCTTGGGTGTCTGGAATACCATTACTAAAGCTATTTAAGAAAACACATCAGTTTAAATAGTCCGCGCAAATACTGTTTCCCGGGGTATTTTCAATGTAGAATTGACGTCATAAATCCAATATTCAATAAAATAATAAAACTTTAAAGACGCATATTTTTCTGAATTGAACTGCGTAAATAATCGTTTAAGGGGGTCTTCTTCTGTGAAGAACTAGCTCATATTGGGAAGCCAATTTGTACATGTAGTAAAATTTAACAACATATACATTTACTCTTTAATAATTATGTAATTTGATTTATTGAACATCAGTTGAATTTCACTCTTAACTAATTGATCAAGTTTACTAATTTAGGTTCCGTTTGTTAGGAAACTATCCAGCTAGTTGAAGAAAGGTCGGTACGACTGTTTGGGTGTTTCCAGTGCGTACTGTGAATAATGCATGAAGAAGGCAAAGTAGGTCTTTCTTCGCGAGTAAACCTGGAAAGTCGCCACATACAGTGTCTGGGATATTTAAAATTCAACTAAAAGCAGTATTATCGACACTTATAAGTACAATAAGACACTATCATATATATATACATTTGTATCATAGTTTGGGGACCTTTCTGTTGAAAATGTGTCAGAGTGAAATCGTATACATATACATGTACAGTGCGTTAACTGGAGTGCAGGTATTAGTTACCCGCACTCCGGAGCATGCCCATTGATTGGCTCATTTTTACTGGGGTTTACTTATTGTGACGGAAGAGAAAGGGAAAGCGACAGAAATATCATATTCAGATGCTCGTTCATAGGTTACTTTTTCCCGGGGTTTCATATTGTGACAACAGGGAACGTGTTTTTATGTTTGACAATGATACAAAAGAGAAAGAACATCAAAAAACTCGGCAATCTGATTAATACTCGGGGGCTACGCCCCCTCGTACAAATCAGATAGCCTCGTGTTTCGATGCTCTTTCTATTACTTGTAATGTATATGATTATAAGTGTTTTGTAATCCTTTCATATCTTCTGGAATTGCTAAGTTGTTTAACAATTGCTTAGATACTGAGACCTTGCATATTTACTAAGTTTAAATGAAAATGAAGTTGTACTGTGATCTACACTTTTGATCTAGTGACCCAAAAATCAATAGGGGTCATCTACTACCAATCACTATGTAAAATATGAAGTCTTTGTGATAAATAGCTTTCAAGATATTGAGCGGATACCATTTTGACTTTTGACCTAGTGACCCCAAAATCAATAGGGGTCATCAACTTGTTATCACCATTCGTTATGTAAAATATAAAGACTTTGTGATTAATAGTTTTCAAAATATTAAGCAGAAACCATTGTGACATTTAAGCCCCCGTGACCTTGACCGTTGACCTAGTGACCTCAAAATCAATGGGGGTCATCTACTAGTTATGACCAGTCATTATGTGAAATCAGAAGACTTTTTGATAATTTTTTTTGAAAAATATTGAGCAGGAACCATACTGACATTAAAGGCCACTGTGATCTTGACCTATGACCTAGTGACCCCAAAATCAATAGGAGTCATCTACTTACTATGACCAATCAATATATGAAATGATAAATAGTTTACAAGGTAATCAACGGGAGCCATTCTGACATCTAAGGTTCCTGTGACCTTTACCTTTGACCAAGTGACCTCAAAACGAAGAGGGGTCATCTGCTAGTTATGACCAATCAATATGTGAAATATGAAGACTTTGTGATAAAATGTTTTCAAAAACACTGAGCTGAAACCATACTGACATTGAAGGCCCCTGTGATCTTGACCTTTGACCTAGTAACCCCAAAATCAATAGGGGTCATTTTCTAGTTATGACCAATCAGTATGTGAAATAAGAAGATTTTTTTATTAAACAGTTTTCAAGATATTGAGTGGAAACCATAGCCACATTAAAGGCCATTGTGACCTTGACCTTTGATCTAGTGACCACAAAATCAGTAAGGTTCATCTACTTGTTATGATCAATCAGTATGTGAAATAAGAACTTTGTGATATTTAGATTTTAAGATAATCAGCGGAAACCATTTGGTCTAACGACGGACAGACACACCGACGGACGAACCAACCGACATTAGCAAAACAATATACCCCCTCTTCTTCGAAGGGGGACATACAAATTCTATATCAATAAAGATACTTTAAAGGAGTTCCATTGAGGTCCAAAGGCCTAAAGATTTCAATTTGTACAAAGATTAACATGGGCACTCAGACAGGAAAAAAATATTTATAAAGAATAGATACATAAGATATACTCTGAATTTTCTTGAACGTCGGTTTTGTGCAATTCTTAGCTGTATCTCAGTTAAACGCGTTTAATTAAATGTTTTTCTTTATAGGTTTCGGTCATTCTATTGTACAAAATCATTATTCTGGAATAACAGAGTAAGCGAATGATCTGAAATTTAGCACACAAGTTGTTGTTCAAGACATACATATATAATGATTCATATCTCGAAAAACATATCCCGTCTTAGTAAAAACCGTTATTAAATATAATTATGAATAACTGAGTTGGTAACTGTATTGATACTCTAAAGGGTTTCATTGTGTCAAATAATCATTGAAAATTGTATTTATATTGTAATGTTCCTTAATTTCAACTTTGATCTAAACTTGATTTTTCTTTCAGTTTCTTATCTTAGTTACTAATTAAAGTTTTTTCAGTGTTTTAAATTTTTCTTTTATATGATATCTGTTTGTATTAAATTAAAGATAACATGTGTTGATTTTATACTATCCATTATCCTTTCATTTCCATTTAAAATATTTCATATTTGATTCTTTTAATTATAGTGTCAGTATTGAAAATGCTTTCAAATTAAAAAAAAAGTTAAACGTTAAATATTTAGGCCAGTGTTCATTGCCAACTTTACAAAAGTTCTGTGCATTGATGTCAAATAAAAGTAAAAAAATGTGTTTAATCTAGCAAAGTATATAAAAGAAGCTTTGTGTTTACGTCAAAATACCCTTGAAAGTGTATCTATCTTCTGGTCGTATATTGTACTTCATTATGTGTCTATGTTATTTATGTATATAATAGTCTTTGCCATAAGTTTTTTTGTTTGTTTGTAAATGGCCAAAGGCAAATGTATTGCTGATTGCCAATGAATAAAACAAAACTAAAAACTGAACTATAAAATAGAAGTCGTCGTACATTGAAAAAAGACATCAATACCAATATGCTGTTATTTAATTTCAATGTTTACAAAATGTGTTTTTTCCTTTATGTCATTGTTATTCAAGCATTGCTTACATATCTATCTGTTTAATAACATATATTCTATTTTTATAAATATATTTCAAGTCAATCATTCTGACGTGTATTATTGATTTTATTTGCTTAATTATTGACAGTTGTATGACCATGAATTATTTTTATGAATTAAGTCGCCATTTTTTTTGCTCTACATAAGCTTTATTTTTTATTTTATCAACTTTATTTATGTACTAGTTAAGCGCATTTGTTTGAATATGTTCCATGTTTTATTGCACAGACTTACCTCTTTCAACAATAATGTGCCATCAATATTTGCACAATCTTTCTTTTGTTAATGTCTTACTCATTTGCACTTTCATATACTAACATTTTGCACTGTTTTGCATTATTTTCATTGCTAAATTTCTGTCGGATTTTAGCAGACTGTTTTTTTTTAAAGATCACAAATTTTAGACTAATAATATAATTTGGTTTCAAGTATTTGTTGTACAGAACTTCTATCTTAAAGTTCAAAGTATACATAATTATTTTTAGCGTGATACAGGTAAAGGTGGCGTTGCTTTTTTATGGCATAAGCGTTTTGATAATATTTTAACGCCATTAAACATTGACTATGACATAATTGTAGGTATTCAATTGCAAGTTTGGTGAACCAGTATATGTATATATTTCAAATATACCTACCATTTATTGGTGACTATAATTGACAATGGAATAGCTTAACGTCTCGTCACAGTTATATGCTTAAGTTTTTAACAGATTGTAACTTGATAGCTGTAAATAAGTTACCAACATGTTATGGTGCCACGTGTTCATATGTTTCTTATGATGATCGTTTTTCAACACTTATTGACTATATATGTTTACCCAATTGAAGTGCTTGATCTTGTGTCTTATTGTGAAATCATGGATGATAATAGTCTAAATGTATCGAGGCACAGGCCTGTTGCCATGTCTATTCATATATACGTCGAACCAAGTATGCTAACAAATTTAAGCAATAATGTGTATAATACTAACTAGAAGAAAGCATCTAATGATAGCATTGTGCAATATCAGTCTTTATTATTATCTGACAATGAATTTATTGAACTTGAATATTGTGACTTCGATAAAGATGGTATTGATCGAGCATACGCAGTGATTTCCGCTAGTTTATTGAACAGTGCGTGTCACGTGTTACCACAGAAATGTTTTAAGGAATATTTAAAACCCTTCTGGAATGACGAACTATCGTCCTTACACAAGAAAATGCTATTGCCACGCGAAAAATGTTCTCGCGATGGAGACCACGTGGGAACAACAATGCATATTACGTTAAATATAAATCATCTAAACGGGACTTTCGCAAGATGCTGAGAAAGTGCTCAGAGGATTTACTTATTCAACAGGACAACGAGTTGGATAGATCTGCAGAAATCGCTTCAACTCAATTTTGGAAACTAGTGAATTCCCAAAAAAAACGAAAGAGTCAATGTAAAATGACTGAAGGTATAGATTTCCACGGTAAAATAATAAGAGGCCGAGAACAAATTTCAAATGAGTAGGGACTGTATTTCCAATCTTTGTATACATTTAATGAATCCCAAGAATATATTGAATATTGGAAGAAGTCAGCGACAGCGACGGTAAATGAAACACTGGGGCATATCGCAACCGATGAAACAGTACGTATGCTTCAATGACACAGTTTCTGAGGCTATACAGACCCTGCCAGTAGGAAAAGCATGTGGCATGATAATTAAGTGTACGAACATTTAATTTACTCAAAAGAATTGTTTCTGGAATTTTAGCCAATATCTTCACACATA